AAGTTATCCACTGAATATCAAAAGGTCACTTCTCTTAATCTAAATTCGCCAGAGCATTACACAACTCCCATCCACTACTGAACCATTTCAAACTTAAACCCTAGAATAGGCTGCAAAAAAGGCTGAATATAAACTGTCTCCAGATGTCTTAAGTTGCTCTTAAAGGGTAAGAGAAATCAAGAGTTAAGTCTGGGACAATTGGTACCTTGCCCCTTTTACCTTTATACCATGGCTATCCCTCTATTTCTATAATATGGCAAGTCTCCTGGGAAATCAAAACTAAAAGGCAAGATTATGAATATAAAATATATCTCCATGCTATAGTGATAGACCAAAGAGACAGGCAGGAAATGAGGTTGAGGCTTTAGTGTCTGGGATAGAACAGAAGTTGAAATGCAAGGTAAGCAAAGAAAAGGGTTTGAAAAGGACAAAGAGAAAGAGGAATTTATTACATCTTTACCAAGTTGCTGTGGAGAAGGGGAGACTCTCAGGCTCAAATAAAACCCACCTTTAGTGATGCTACACACTCAATGTTGGCTTAGGCAATACAAACATGAGGTCTTTGACTTATCCCTCCTGACTTAGACACCCTCCTAAACAATAAGACTTAGGATATGATTTTACCCCACATTAGATTGACCATTGGATGTGCCGCTCATGGAATTCTGTCCTGTGTACTTTGTCCAGATAGATCTAAAATTCTGAGCCCAAGTATCATGCTTCTGTGCATAGCTCCTACCAAAGACATGAGCTCACATTGTATGTACATATATGCACACATATGTACATGAAACAAAATCATGATTACTGACTCTCCGTTCTATTCCTTGTTCTGAGTAGGCACATTCTTTCCAAGCAAAGGTAAGGGGAGGGAAAAACACTAACAGTCCTCTGAGGTTTCACAAACCCCCCTAACCTCCTCCAGGAATCAGAAGAAAGTATGTTCACCTTTTCTCACTCTGTTTCCTTAAATAGCCACAATGCCAATAAGTAGATCAGGAAGACAAAGCCTGCCATGTGATTTATTACCTGTGCCAACTCAAGTGGAGTTGATAGGTCAAGGAAGAAATTAGCAATATCCTAGGGTTTAAAACAACAGCCTCCACACACCCCTTTTGTTTATAACTCAATTTCCTACAAGAGCTCATTTTGCATTACTTACTCCCCCCCAGAGCTTTCCCACAAGGCGGAGCCAATCTAAGGATGTCTGACACCCCTTATAATTACAATTTCCTCATTTGGGCATCGTCTCTCTTATTATAATGTCATTATCATAATATGGGGTTTTCACTGACAGGGCAGCTAGCAGCAGAGTGACGGCTCTGACAAAAACCATTAACTCTGCTTAGTCACATGCCTGCTTAGTTCACGTCCTTCCTGACCCTCTCATGGCTGATTCCAGGCAACATCTTTCTCTCCTGCCTAGTCCCTGCTTTTCCACTCCCAGTGGCTGACTGATAAAGTGGCTCCTGAATTTGCTTATTTATGCTAATTTTTATGCCTACCATCTCTTTGATTCCTTCCCTCCACACAAGAGATTCCCCTAGAGGCAATGTTTTCCTTTTTTTTAAAAAAAAAAAGATTTTATTTATTTATTCATAAGAGACACAGAGAGAGAGGCAGAGACACAGGCAGAGGGAGAAGCAGGCTCCATGCAGGGAGCCCGATGCAGGACTTGATCCTAGGACCACGGGATCACAACCTGAGCTGAAGGCAGACGCTCAACCATTGAGCCACCCAGGCATTCCTGTAGGCAATATTTTCTATTAAATAATAAGGAATACTATATTAGGATAACTAGAATTTATTAAGCATTTCTTTGTTTCTGACACCATGCTAGATGGCACATAGGATTTCCTTATACTGCTGAATCTCTGTAACTATCTTATGAGAGGGATCCATTACTGTCTGCATTTGACAAAAGACAAGCTCAGAATGATCACTTTTCCAGCATCTGCCTGACTCCAACACCAGAGCTGTTAACCAATCCTCCACTGCCCACAGCAACTATAGGACCAGCATTCTGTATCAGGAAAAGGTCTGTACTATGGACTGCATGTTTATATTCCCACCCCACCCCCATACTCTTTTTTTTTTGTTTTGTTTTTTTGTTTTTTTGTTTTTTTTTTTTAAAGATTTTTAATTTTTTTTTATAAATTAATTTTTATTGGTGTTCAATTTACCAACATACAGAATAACACCCAGTGCTCATCCCGTCCACCCCCATACTCCCCCAGTGGGGACAGTGTTTGGAGATGGGCCTATGGGAGGTTAGGTGATGAAGACGGGGCCCTCATAAAGGGATTAGTGCCCTTCTAAGAAGAGACCCCAAAGAACTTGTTGCTTTCTTTCTCTGTGCTTTCCAGCATGTAAGGGCACAGCAAGAAAATAGCAATCTATAAACCAGGAAGAGGGCCCTCACCAGGAACCTCATCAATTAACACTTTGCTCTTAGACGTCCCAGCCTCCAGAACTGTGAAGAATAAGAGTTTGCTGTTTAAGTTATCCAGTCTATGGCATGTTTCTTAAAGCAGCCCAAACTAATGGTTTGCCTCCATTTTCCTCTTAGTTTGATGACAAAGATGCTACAATGCCAAAAGCAGCAGCAGCAGCAGCAGCCGCCGCCGCCGCCGCTGCCACCGCCACCCAAACTAAGACAATATATGTAGAACTGATTTAACGTTAATGCCCTAGGAAGACTGTATAAACCTATACAGATCTGAAAATGATCTTATTTGTATCCTAACTTACAGTTTTAAAATTTTAGCCACCACAGGCTAAGATGGGCAGGAAAATTATGATATATAGGAGGATTTCAAGAATTATTTCTTAGTTCATTCCAGGTGAGGTAGCTCATGATCCACAATTTCTTTCTGAGATTCTTAATAATTTTTTCCTTCCTAACAGGATTGGCTTTATTTCTGGGCCCGTGGTACCTACTAATATTCACAGATGGGCACAGCATGGCTTCCAATACACAAAGACCAACAATTCTCCCCATTTTAACACCTAACATTCTACCATTTGCAGTTCTTTTGGGCTGTGTCCTTTTTCTAGATACTCTTTAAAATATAAATAAATATATAAATTTATTCACTGGGAAAATAATACTAAGCTACTGATAGCTTACTGTGAATTACTACTACAAATGCTTCCTGGCCAAAATGAACTAGAACAAAAGGACAAAGAAGAGTCAATTCCTGGGGAAGAGAGGAGAGCCTTGAAATGCAGGAGGCTGCCCAAAGAGGATGGCAGATAATTCAAGCCAAATTTCCCCTGTTATGTTGGCCCAGAACAGTCCTGCTGTCTGTCATGAAATAGCTCAGCAGTGTTGTGTAGGAGGTGGTATCATTTATTGAAAGAATATTGGTCATAATCCTAGCCATTGGGGCCTACTTAGCCCCAGTGTATTAAGTCCAAAAAATAAAGTTGAAAGATTACACATGCTATGTTTGATCAGTTCCAATTGGCCAAGTGAGAGCCCCAACTGTAATAAACTTGACTTAAAGGTAGAAGTATTCAAGTATCATTTTTATTGAATCAAAGAGATCAGCTGCTTTTATCCTAATTAAAATTATACATCCTTTATTCATAAAACTTCAGTAACAATTTGAATTGCCAAAGTCTTTAATCATGAAATTATTTGCCTTTCAGAATTGACAAGTAGTTATATTAAAAATGCCACCTCTCTTATCCACTAGAGGTTGAGTACAGCTCATTTAACCTGAATCTTTTACTAAATACATGGAGTATTTTATAACTTTAAAAGAATGGGACTATGTAGAGAAATAATTTTATTCTTCTTACCTCCTTAGTATCAGTTTATTTTTAAGAGGTATCTCAAGAGCCATATTTTACTAAATTATTTTTTAGTGTAATGTTCAAAAATACTAGATACCCAAAGGGCTCAGAAAACCAAGCATGTTCTTTCCTGTTCCAGAGCTGAAATCCATCAACACCAAAGCTATCAATATTGTTGAATTACAGTCATTGGAACTAAAATTTTAAGTCAAACAAACATCAATAAGCTCTGCCAGCCAGGACAGTTCAATCTTTAAAAACTCAACAATTTTAATTTTTTCCTTAAACAAAAATAATAATTCTGGGCAACCCATCATATCTTAATGAGAACCAGAATCGTATCTTTTAAAATAACACTCTTTTTAAGTTGTTTAAAAGATTTATTTTGGGGGGCGGAGAGAGAGAAGCATGTACCTGAGCAGGTGAAAGGGCAGAGAGAGAGCGGGGAGGTGCAGACTCACTGCTGATCAAGGAGCCCTCCGTGATCTCGATCTCAGAACAGGGGCCTCGGTCTCAGAACATGGAGATCATGAACTGAGTCAAAATCAAGAGACCTTGGCCTAACTCACTGAGCCAAGCAGTAACTCTTGATTATCCTATAATTTAGGGAGAGGAGCCAATTGAAATGATATCTGAAAAAATACATTGAAATACTATCCAAAAATAAGGAATAACTATTGTAAATTTCAAAGTAAGCTCTTTCACTTTTCTAAATATCCAATTACAATGCCTGAAATGCCTCAATTTCATTGCACAGTAGGCTTCTATGCATTCTACAATCATGCAAGATCATCAGCATATATTCAGCTATCTCTGGAAAACATTTCTAGGTATTTACATATTTCCTGAACCTGTACTGGAATCTCCTATACTTTCTGATCTAATTATCTTACTTCATTAAAATCTTAACTATCAGAAATAGGACTGAAAAGTCTAAGTAGAGGCCATAAAGCTTTAAGAAAAAAATATGTAAAGAAGCCAGAAAATAGCTAACATTTATTAAGTGATCATTCACTTCTGAGCTCTTAACATAAATTAAGCCCTTTAATCCTCACAATCACTATACCAGGTAAGTATATTTATTCTCAAATAAAGATAAGACAACAGAGGTATGAGGGTAAGTTACTTCTAAAAGTTCACACAGCTAGTTAGTGAACATAGGCAAGTTATTAAAAGACAGAAATACCAAGCAATGCTACCTGTACAGAAGGCTTCTCCATCTCCCTTATCCATGGTTCTGCTTTCCGTGGTTTTAGTTGCCCAAGGTCAACCATGATCTGGAAGCAGATGAACCTCCTTCTGAGGTACCATCAGACAATCATTAGTCACCTAATGCTACATCACTTAACTCACCTCACCTCACCATGTAGGCATTTTATCATCTCATATCATCACAAGAAAATTACAGGTGAGTACAGAATACTAAGATATTTTGGGAACTTTTTTCTAAGTTTTTATTTAAATTCTAGTTAGTTAACATACAGTGTAATATTAGTTTCAAGTTACAATTTCGTGATTTAACATTTACATACAATTCCCAATGCTCATGACAAGTGTACTTCTTAATCCCCATCACCTATTTAACTCATCCCCCTACCCATCTCCCCTCTGGTAACTATATGTTTTCTATAGTTAAGAGTCTGTTTCTTGGTTTGCCTCTCTCTTATTTTCCCCCTACAATCCTTTGTTTTTTAAATTCCACTATGAGTGAAATCATATGGTATTTATCTTTCTATGACTTATTTCACTTAGTATAATACTCTCTAGCTCCATTTGCATCGAGAGTAGCAAGTTTTCATCTTTATGGCTGAGTAATATTCCATTATGTATGTAATATATATGTGATAAAGATGTGTGTGTATATATATATATATAATTACATATATATACACACACATATATATAATAATTACATACACACACACACACACACCCCCTATGACTCACCAATTGTGCTACTAGGTATTTACCCAAAGAATACAGAATACTAAAATGTTTTGAAAAAGAGAGACCATATTCACATACATTTATTACAGTATATTGTTTTATTTTTTAGACCATATTACCATCTATTGTCATTAATCTTTTACTGTGCATAATCTATAAATTAAACTTTATGATAGGTATGTATGTGTAGGAAAAAACATAGTATATATAGATTTCGGTACTATCCACCATATCAGGTATCCAGTAGGGATCTTGGAACATGTTCTCTATGGAAAAGAGAGATGACTGTATTTGCAATCAAGAAAGACAACCATATTTGCCCCTTGGTTCTTCTGTCAACACTGCCTTCAGGCCCACAAAAATATGGGGTTCACTATTATACTCTTCCATAATAAGACTGAGTCGTAGAATGGCACTAATTCCTGTTGAAACCAGTAGAAAGAATATAACTTTGTGACATCTTGGATGGGACAAACATCTCTGAACTGAAGAGAGACAGGATGTTTTTACCTAAAACATAAACTTCCACTGAATCTCTAAACTAAAGAATCAGAAAATAAGCATCAAACATCCTTAATAATTAGAGGTGACAGATCTGATGCAGATTAAGTATTCAGAGAATTTAATAATGTATTACATGAGCTGTCTTGTTTTATTCTGAGATGGCTAAGATGAAGTAATAGATCAGGTCTAACTTCCACCTTAAACAAGTAGAACAATGAACAAAATCTATGAAACATCTTTTAGACACTGGATAATGAGAAATGCAGAACTGTGATCCCTGAGAGACGGAAACAAATGAGGTCATCCTAATGATTGTCCAGCTTTCCAATTAGAGGCAGACTCCTGACCACAGAGCAGGTATGGAGTTCAGGGCAGGGGCTGGGAGGGTCCCAAACATGGAGGTCTCACTGAATTGAGGAAATAAAGATTGGAGTTCAGGGTATTTCAAGGGGCTAGAGGTTACAGGGAAGAGATCTAGAGAGGAGAGTAGTTACAAACAAACAGAGCTTCTAAGTGTACATTGAGATAACCTGGACTCTCTACAGAACATGCATATGTGTAGAGTGAAACTTCATGAGATAAAGCAAAGAGTAACCAGGGATCTAAGAGATGAATGTTTTCCAGGTTTGCACAGATCTGGGTATATTTTAAACTCCCAACAGCCAATGGGGAGAATCCCCAATGACCATTTGGAGAATTCAGAAGGGGCCCCCAAAAAGACTCCAAAGTAGTGAAAAATCAAAGTAAAACTAACTCCAAAAGTAGTGGAACTAAAGTATTCCTAAAGTAAAGGCTACATTCTCTCTGGCCTAACAAAGCTTTACAGTAAGACTGGAAAAGATTAAGCTGACCCCGGGGCAACTTAATTGTCTCCCAGAATAAAGCCCAACACTCTAAAGGAAGACAACAAAATCCCTACTCTCAACAAATCAAATATACAGTGCCCACATTCAATTAAAAATTACTAGACAGTCAAGAAGTAGGAAAATGTGACCCACAAATTATTCAATAGAAACAGCAAGAAAACTAGAAACTACATTAGAATATAAGCATCTGAAAACAGCTATTACATATATACTCTAGTATTTAAGAAAGACATGAACATAGTAAGAGAAATGAAAAATACTTTTAAAAATCCCCAAAACTTCTAGAGTTAAAAATATATTATCAAAAGAAAAATTCACTGATTAACATTTGTAGCAAAGATGACATTGCTAAAGAAACGTAAGATTGAAGCTACATACAATGCAATAGAAACTATCCATAAATGAAGCACCAAGAAAAAAAAAGACTGAAAAAAGTGAACAGTATCAGTAAACTGGGATGGTATCAAGCAGTTTTACATATGGATAATTGGAGTCCCAGAATTGACAGAGAGCAGAAATAATATTTAAAGCAATGATGGTCAACTTGAAATTTTATACCCAATTAAGTTATCTTTTAAAAATTAAGGTAAAATACAGTCTTTTAAAGACACACAAAAACCGAGAGAATTTACAATGAGCAGTCATACACTCCAAACACTGTTAAAGTTGAAGGTAAGTAAAATTATACCAGATAGAAACTTGGATCTACACAATGAAATGAAGAGTGCTGGAGATGGTAAATTTTCAAATAAATGTAACATGAATATGTGTTTCTGTTGCTCATATATGTAAAGAAGGAATGAGAGCTAGAGACTTCCTTATTTTGTGAGGAGAGGACCAACAGAAGTTTCTTTTTTATTATTTTTTTATTTTAATTCTAGTATAGTTAACATGCACAGTTACATTAGTTTCAGGTATATAATATAGTGATTCAACAATTCTATACATTATTCAGTGCTCATCATGATAGTGTACTCTTTAATTCCTATCACCTACTTCACCCATCCCCATAGCCACTTCCCTTCTGGTAACCATCTGTTGTTCTCTATAGTGAAGACAGAACTTTCTCTTTTTTTTAAGATTTTATTTACTTATTCATGAGAGACAGAGAGGGGGGGGGCAGAGACATAGGCAGAGGGAGAAGCAGGCTCCATGTAGGGAGCCCAATGCAGGACTTGATCCCCAGACCGGGATCATGCCCTGGGCCAAAGGCAGGCGCTCAACCACTGAGCCATCCAGGCGTCCCAGAAGTTTCTTTAAAAAAAAAAAAATCACTTATTGAAAAACTAAGGCAAGTTATATGCATGCAAATGGTAATTATTTTTGCCCAGCTTTGAGATATATTTGACATATAAGATTGCCTAAGCTTAAGGTGTACAATATGTTGATTTGATACACTTATATATATTGTAAAATGATTACCATTCAGTGTTAGCTGACAAATGTGTCATGTCACATAATTACCATTTCTTTTTTGGGAAAACACTTAAGATTTCCTCTTAGCAACTTCCAAATATACAATATAGTATTGTTATCTAAAATCACAATGTCATACATTCCATACCCCAGAACTTACTCATCTTTTAACCGTAATTTCATTCCATTTAACCAAAATCTTCCCTCTTCCTTCATCCTCCAGCTTCTGATAGTTACTATTCTACTCTCCGTTTCTATTAGTTCAGTTGTGTTAGATTCCACATATAATTGAGAGCACATTTGCCTTTCTCTGTTTGACTTATTTCACTTAGCCTAATATCCTCGAGTACCATCCATTATATCACAAATGGCAAAATAATGTTCTTACCTATGGCTGATTATATTCATCTTATTTATCCATTTTTATTGGTAATATGTTAGTTTGTTAGATGTATCATAATAAAACACCACCAAAAAGGCAGCTGAAAACCACACAATTTTTTTCCTTTCACAATTCTGGAAGATAGAAGTCTGAAATCAAGGTGTTGGCAAGTCTTAACTCCAACTGAAACTTAGAGAGATAATTCTTCCTTGCTTCTTCTAGCTTCTGGGGCCTGAAGGCATCCTTTGGCTTGTAGATACATCATTCCTAGTTCTGCTCTTTGTCACTAGACTATCTCTCCTCTTGTGTCTCTCTCCGCTTTTATAATGATACCCGTCATATCACATATCACATTTACCTCATCTTAATTATATCTGTAATCATCCTATTTTCAAATAAGCTCACATTTTGTGGAACTGGGGGCTTAGAACTGTAACATGTATTTTAAGGGTACACAATTCAATTCCCTAAGAGCACTCTACTGCCCAGGAATGACTGATTCATTGACAGTGTGGCCAGTCTCAGTTCTCAGGTTGATGGTGTGACCTGAAACCCTCATCCTAAATCACATGGTTGCTCTTTCTGGAGTAGTGAGGCCCTACTCCAGATCTAGCAAGTGTGGCCAGTCCCTGCCCTAAATAAAGACACTTCTACCAGATATAACAGAGATTACTTGCCAAACACAAGGACAAAGGCCAAGACTCTCTTTGGAGAAGGCCAAATTCTTTATTATACAAAGTCCAAAATGTTTGACACTGATCTTTCTTAAAGCACTAAATAAAAAGGTAAAAGACCCAGTTTTTTCAGGCTCCCTGCATGAGCCTGCTTCTCCCTCTGCCTGTGTCTCTGCCTCTCTCTCTCTCTCTCTCTCTCTCTCTCTCTCTCTCTCTCTCATGAATAAATAAATTTTTAAAAAATTTAAAAAAAAAAAGAAAAGCAGAAAAAAATTAGGACAGCACGGGTGGCTCAGCGGTTTAGTGCCACATTTAGCCCAGGGCATGATCCTGGAGACCCAGGATTGAGTCCCACATCAGGCTCCCTGCATGGAGCCTGCTTCTTCCTCTGCCTGTGTCTCTGCCTCTCTTTCTCTGTCTCCCATGAATAAATTAAAAAATAAAAATAAAAAAAAAAAAGAATC